AAAAAAAAAAAAAAAAATACACAGCACAAGACCTCAATGGAAAAGATACCAAGGCTTATTGGAAAATGTAAAAGATCAAAATAAGAGAAGAACTATAATAAGCGGATGAATTGATTTAGATTATTAAAAAATTTCCAATTCTTCTCAAGCTAAGCTACACCAAGAGGAAAAGAAGGGGAAATTTGACTTACCAGAGTATTGTACTATAAAGCCAGAGTCATGAAGATCCCAAAAGTATTGGGTAAACTAGGGCTTCTCAAACTTTCACGCGCATAAGAATCTGGTGGGGATCTTGTTCAGGACAGATTGAGATTCACATGGTCTGGGATTCAGCATTCCTAACAGGCTCCAGATGATGCTGGCACAGTTGCTCCATGCACCACACTTTAAGAAACAGAAAAGGAGATAAATAAAGACCGAAATAGCCTGGAAGCAAATCTACACATTTACGAAAGCTCACTATATGGTGAAGACCATAGAAGGAAGCGAAGTATGTAACAATTTGGGCTGAGCCAGGGTCCTTGTAAGAAGGAGGCAGCAGTGTCCGAGTGAGAGGTTGGACGACTCTGTGTGGCTGTGAAGGTGGAGGAGAGGTCACAGCCAAGGCATGGGCAGCCTCTTGTAGCCAGAGGACAGGAATCTGATTCCCAGCCCCACCTGAGCTCCTCCAGAAGGAACACACCTCTGCCAGCACCTTGATTGTGGCCGAGTGAAACTCATTTTGGGCTTCTGACCTCCAGGACTGTCTGATAATAATTTTGCTGCTTGAAGTCACTATGTTTATGGTAATCGGTTACAGAAGCATCAGGAAACTAACAGTTCATGTAACAATGGCCGCCATAAAACAAAATGAAAAGGTAAGCCATCTATTGGAAGAAAAAAATTACAAAGCATATGGCTGATAAATGAGTCCAATAAAAAACATAAGGCGAACTGCAGATCAATAGAATAAGACAAGTGGTCCACTAGAAAGATGGGTGAAGTATACATACAGGATCCACAGAGGAGAAAAGCTCTATGGCCAGGAGAACTAAAACATGCACAACCTCACTAATAATCTTGAAGAACAGTGAGATCAAAATTTAAAATTATTGACAACGGCAAGTGTTAATGAAGATATAGAGCAATGGTAACTTGCATAAAATACGGAAAGGAGTGGATTCTTTGCAATGACTTTGGAGGGACCAATTTATCAATTTAATAAATTTGACTTTTGAAGCCTCTCAAACTCCATGACTCAAGCATGTTGTTTGTAGGTTTCACTGTGAGGACTTGGGGAAACTCACAAGATTTTTTCATCAAAGCAGTTTTGTTATACTTCACAGTTGGATATAAATTAAGTGTCCTTCACTGGGAGGCTGGTAAATAAATTGCAGAATCTTCCCACAGTAAGAGTACCCAACAACCAAACTGGAGGAAACAGCAGATTGCTGTGCCTGACTGGGTGTAATCATCCCCTGGCTGGTTTCCTTATCTCTCCTGTCTCCCAATTCTCTCGTGTCTCTAGTTTCTCCATTTCAGTAAAACTAGCAGACTTTTGAAATCTGAGCATGCTCATACTTTAATTAAAAAAATGTTCCTATGCATTTGAAATAATGGTTTTATTGAACTATGAGGTAAACAATATATTGAAAGTATACAATGTGGTGTATTTTGTGTGAAACATCATCATGATCGAGGTACTGAATACATCTACTACACTGGAAAGTTTCCTTGTAGCTTTTTGGTCCCTTCCCAAGCCCTCTGTTCCGTTCATCACCAAGTAATCACTGCTTCATTTTCTGACATCATAAATCCATTTGCATTTTCTTGGTTGTGCATAAATGGGGTCATTGAGTGTGTGCTCTTATTTTATCTGTATTCTTTCACTTGGTATATTTTGAGATGTTTCCATGTTGTGTGTAGTGCATTGTTTTTTACGGATGAATATGACTCTCCAATACATACCATAATTTGATTGTACCATCACTTGTTGATGGGCATCTGGGCTATTTCCAGTTTTTCACTATTATGAACACTGGCCTACAAGTCCCTGTGTAGATGATGTTTTCTTCTTTCTTCGTTAAATACAGTACCTGGATTACATGGCAGGTGTGCATTTAACATTTTCCGTAGCAGTTTCCCCATTTCGCATTCCCACCAGCAGGCTTCAGTGGACTTTGGGAAGGAAACTGCAATCGTCTGGGGCCCTTGTGAAGCATTCAGGACTTCGATCTACTCCAGTGGGTCTGGGAGGGACCTGGGAATCTGGACTCTAGGTTTAACAGGTAACCAGGTGATTTATATAGCGGGTAACTTGTGAATCATCGGCCTAGGGGACACATTCTTCACTACAGAGCTGTGTTTATGGGGCTTTGAGGCCCTCCTGCTGTCCAGTTTATCAGGGTGACACCCCCACCACCCCGCTTTGGCACTACTGTACTGTTTTTGTATAAGTTGTCTTGTTCACCGGGTGCTTATACAAGGCAGTGGGTGTAGCAGGGCCCCCCCAAAGGTATGTTCACACCACCACCCTCAGACCCTGAGGCTGTGATCCTGATTGGAGAAAGGGTCTTTGTAGACTTAACGAAGTTAAGGACCCTGGGATAAGATTATCTTGGATTTAGGATTAGATCGGTGTTATGCTGCCTTAAGCCAACACTTGAACACTTAAACCCCGGGATGCTGGAAGAGTCCAGAAAAGATTGTCCCCTGGAAGCTTCAGAAGCCACACGACCCTGCTGGCACCTTGGTTGTCACGGCTGGCCTCCAGAACCGTAAATTTCTGTTGTTTTAAAGTCACCCAGATTTTGGTAATCAGTCATGGCATTGAGGATTTGAAGATTAAAAAGTCTGGCTCCCACTCTTGAGAAATGTAAAAGTAGGAAGATGGATCGGGATTATGCTAAAGTGAGGAATATTTCTCTGAGTGAGGGTTCGGTAAGGAGAGGGATAGCGACCACATGACTGAAAGAAGGCGGCGATTGTATCCTGCATTCCCTTCCCACTCTTGCTTGTCCCAATAAACAGCATCAGCACTTCGCAAATGACACAAACCGGAAATCTGGGATTCGCCTACTCCCTCACTGCCCCCACCCACAGCACCCCCACTTCCGGTCAGTCAACAACCCCCTATTGATGCTATTTCTTCTATTTTCTTACTATTTCTAAAATATTCACCTCTCCTCCCTCTCCATAACAACCACCACAGTCTGAGCTCTGTCACCTCTGTCCCATACCTCATGAGTTTACCTGGTGCTTGGGACAAGGGCAAGTCCCCAAGCAGAATGTGGGCCCTGCCCTCCAGCTCTGCAGACTGCCTCTCTTCTACACAGTTTCCAGAAACCCCTGCCACCCTGGCTGCCTTTGTCCTCACACATCGCCGGCTCCCCTCACCGCTGGCTACTCAGGAACTGTTTGCTGCACAAAAGAAAGAACCATGACTTTCCTTCACCATGACTGCTACTACTGCAGCCTCATTCCTTCGGGCAACCCTTCCTCTCTGACCGGCTTATACCTGGCTATTGTATTCCCCGGGGTCTGTGTGCCTCTCAGTCACAGCGGTGGCTTTATACTGGTGTGGTCACTGCACTCAGCCTCACACAGCCTGGGAGCTCCTTGGGCACGGGGACAGTGACCGTTGTTTCCCTAAGGCACAGCCGGCTGCTGTTCAGTGTAGCTACTCAGTACATATTGGTGAATTAATGAAGACATCATACCATTGCTTATAACAGGAAAAGCACTGGAGACAATTTATGGAGAACAAATTAAATTAATTAAAAATTATGGCTTACAGCCATGCTATGTAAGAGGACATAGCTCTTTCAAATAATGAGATTTATTTTGGAAAGTTGGCCATGATAGATTTTGAATAAAATAGCAACAACCACAAAAATGAATCAAAGAACAATTTTTGGGAAAGCCATTGTTTTCAAATCAAAACACTTCTCTCCTTTTTTTAGTGGTGGTGGTTCTGGTGATCAAACCCAGGACCTTGCGAATACTAAACACTGAGCTATTGAGTCACACCCCCACCCCAAAGCAATGATTTTAACTTTAAAAAGTACATTTGACAAGAAGAGATAAAGGTGAGGAAGGGTAACACCACCTTGTAACGGTACTTAGTGTCTGGTGGTAAGACTGAGAGAGTGAAAGACTCAATTTACATGTGCTTTATAAAAGAATTTATAAAATTTTGCTTTGGTTGGGCCTTTTCTTTTTATAAGTGTATATAATTTTTATAATTCAAAACACATTTTTAAAGAAAATGAGGAAGACAATAAACCACCCAGAGAGGGAAGGCGTGTTCCTGGACAGCCAGCACTGCCCTCCTTTCCTGCCCACTAAACCCCTCCGTGCTTGACCCTACCCACCTGGCCACACCCCTGCACTGCACCCTCTCACCTGTACCCTGTCCTTTCCTGCACCTTGCCCTCTCACCTATGCCCTGGACTTTTACCTGTTCCTCATTCTGTCACTTGTTCTCCACCCTCTCACCTGTGTCCCTCACTGTGCCTGCAGCCTCCTACCTCCTCCCCAGAGGTGTTATTGTTTTGCAAAGTTCAGGAAAAATGAGGATGTTGGAGCTGGGTTTGGACTTAAGCTCAAGTCAATTTATGCTGATGATTGGAATGTAAGCTCCTGGAGAAGGAAAGGAATTGACATTTTCAAAAATTAAACTTTTAACGCCTGGTTAAATATATCTCCATATTCAACCCATTACATCACAAGAACTTTGAGAGTAGTTCTTTTTATCCCTATTTTTGAAAAACAGTAAGTGCCGGGAGCTTGTCACTTGCTCTGTTTCTGACGGCCAGGACTCGGCAGGGCTCTCTGATAGTCACTCAACTCCAAACTCTTTCTTTGGATCAGACCCTGGGGGAGCAAGCATACATCCCCTCCAGTACATTTCCCAGTTAGTTCCTCCAGGGTAGTAAATGCTGGGTCAAAGTTTGCCTAATGATGAAGGTGGTCTATCCTTCAGCCAGCATGTTTATTAAGTAGGCTTCGTCTCATTTCCATTAAAGCTTCATTTCCCCACAGCTTAAAATAGAATTGAAAATCTGCCACGTTCGACCTGCTTTCATCTATTAGCATAATTTATCAAATTACAGAACTGAGAAACAACGCGGGTGAAGAGGAGCTGGCTGGTGCCACCCCTGGGTGGGATGGACCAGAGATACCATGAAGGGCATGGGGTCTCAGGAGCAGGGGAAGAGACTGGAAATGGCTGAGAATTCAAGGCAGGAAAGAGAAAAGCAAAACAACAACAACAACAACAAAACAACAAACACACAAACAAAAAACCATCTCTTTCATGGCCAAGTGGGAAGAACACAGACTCATGGAGGCAGCCTGAGCTTGGACTCTGCCTCTTCCTGGCTGGGAATCTAGGTCAAAACAATTCACAACGTGAGCCTCAGCGTCTCCAAAAGCAGAGCAGCTGCTAACCTCACCAGGGTGCTGGCGCCAGTGCTAAGGGGGCAGCGGACATGGCTGGTGCTTTACAGAAGTAACACAGCGAGGCTGTGCAGTGGATCCGGTGCTTGCTCTCTTGGCATGACCTTGTCTTTACTTTGCGTTCAGCATTCTCAGTCTGAAAGACGGTTTCAGATGGTTTTAAACACTTCTGAGGCTGGGGTGGACTTTACCTTCCCCTACCTCCTAAGACCTAAAAAGTTGACTTGCGTATGACGGGTGCTCTGCTTCTGATGAATGAAGGGCAAATGAACGAACCTGACAGCTTCCCAAGCAGTGGTCCTTGATCAGTAAAGAGGATCCTATCAGCTCCCCAGCTCTGCTCCCAGGGCCTCCTCAGATGCCACCCATCCAGCATGGTCACCATGCTGAGATGGACAGAACAGGTAGGAGGAGAGTAAGGAGAGTAAGGGGAAGAGAGCAAGGAGCTACAGGATGAAGGAACCTCTAATTCCTATCTTTGCGCATCACTGAAGACCTGAGAGAGAGCCAGGGGTGCTGTCAAGAGAAAACAGAGTCTAGGGAAGGATACGATGATCGGATGATAAATAAAAAGTGGTCTTCAAACTACTAAATAAAACCAAAAGTGATGAGTGAAGAAAAATAACAATAGATTCTTATCAAATGGGTCTTTTAAACACGACACCCACACCAACACATAACAATTTGTATAGTCATTCTAATTGGTGATATAGCTAAGGAAAGTAAGATTGTCTTTGGTGTTAGGGGCTTAAATAAAATGTTCTCTGTCTTTCTATCTCCCTCTCTCCCTCTCTGTTCTTTCCAGGTCTCAGTAAACACTGTGCTGTGTTTCCATCCAAAGGCAGTAATAGGCAAATTGTTCATTTTCGATTGTAAGTCTTTATTGCCTCTGGCAGCCAAAGCACTGTTACGGGTCAGAATGAGATAATTTGGTACTAGCAGAAGAAAACTGAAATAAATTCTTCTAGTGAGTTAAACGCTGGTCCCCAAGAAAGACAGGCATACTTCCAACCCCTGAAACTTGTCAATAGCACCTTATTTGGAGAAAGGGCCTTTGCAGTTGTAACTACATTAAGAATTTTGAGATGAGATCATCGTCGATTATCTAGAAGGCCATAAACCTGACAACCACTGTCCTTATAATAGAAGAACATGAGGAGATCCCACACAGACAGGAGATGTGGCCCTGTGAAGACAGAGGCATAGCTCGAGCTGTATATATTGTTCTGAGCCAGGGGTCATCAGTGGTGGAGCCAGGAGCGAGGTGTGGAATATCGTATGGAGTATCTTCTCCCTCTCGGCCTAAGACAGGAGGGTGGGCCTGTGAATACAGTGAATTTGGACCTCCTAGCTCCACAACTGTGAGGAAATACATTTCTTTCTTTTCTTGTTCCTCGTGGTGCTGGGAATCGAATCCAGCTTCACATGCCTCACAAGCATTCTCCCACTGAGCTACACCTCCTGCCCAAGAGAATATGTTTCTGTTGTCTTAAGTCACTCAAATTGAGGCCCTTCGTCACAGCAGCCCTATGAAACTGGCATCATTGTGAAATTCTGTGCACATGTTTAAGGTAAGGTTTTCAAGTAAACACCCAGGCCGGAACTCAGTGGTAGGCGGTCCCCCTGGAAGTCCTGGCTGACTCCCCTGGCTCTGCACCTTCGCAAAGCACTTCCTTCCCCAAGGTCCCCAAGCTCTTTCGCTCCTCCATGGGAATGCTGCCCCATCTGCAGCAGTGCAGACCCAGTGTCACCATCCTCACAGGTGCTCAGCTCAGTCCTACTCGCTAGCTCGGAGGACTTTCGGCACAATTACTCACCTGCCGAGCTCCAGAGATCTCTAATGCTCCGGGGATATCTGATCCTCGTCACGGGGGGATGTTGTTTCTGGACAGAAGCACAGGGCTGTCTTTGCAGTACTGTGCTTGCACTGTTTCCTCACTATCAAGGGCAAAGCTCTGCATGCACAATGGTTACACCTACCAGGTATCCCTGTAAGACCTGCACAGGGAAACTACAAATGGGAGGCATTTGGCTCTCGTTTTCTCCTCTACCTCCTTCTACAGCTCCCATGGCCCCAGATGCCTGGGGTCTCTGTATTGCTCCACTCTTACTGTCTCCCATTGGTCTAGAGGGACAATTGTAACTAGCGCATCAGCTAGGTCATCTCAAGAGTGGGACACATTTTTCATGATGGGAACCCCAATGGGGAAAGGAGACTTGGACTGTGGATCCGTGGGTGATCCCTGGAAGGATCATGAAAGGCAGTGGCCGAGTAGCTGCAGCAATGGCCATCCATGATGATGCTTAGCCTTTCTCAGAGTCTTGTCACATGCCCAATCTCACTTCCCCGTGAGGAACGTGGAGCCCCTATGACCTATCTTCACCGTGTGGTGCCACTGTGACCTACAGAGGTAGTTGGTTGCTTGTTAGCCAAAACAGCTGCATTTCTTGAAGACTGTGCTGTTAGATGCATAGATTTGCCATGCAAAACTCTGATGCTCCACCCTTCAGATGTTTCAGCTCAGCTCCCGATGGCAGGAAATGCACTTCTGAGTTTTCTGATAGCAGATTCCTAGGAAGTAGCCCAATAGATTTTTTTAAAAAAATCAGTGCTTACTGGATTCCCTGAGGTATCTACCCTCTAAAGCATAAGTTCTGCCCACCTTCTCCCAGATTTTTCCTGACTCTTTTTCACCAGAGACACCATTAAGAAGATAACATAGGTATATTCCCAGCAGACCTACAACTGTGCTCATTTATGCCCTGGTTTTACTTTTGTTTTCATTCATCTATTCATGTACCCATGCATTCACCCACCACAATGTTATGAGCACTCGTAAAATGATTAATGAATGATTAGGCAAAACTGTTTCAACAAAGTGATTCCAAAATAGAATCATTTAAGAGAAAGCATTAGTTTATCCCGCTCCCACCTAAGTGTGTGGGGCGAGCAGGCTTGGTGGCAGGGATCTTTACCAGGTTCCTTTTGTCTTGCTGCTTTGCCGTCCCTGGAGCAGGTACTTGTCTGCCATATTCTCTTTCCAGGCCATGGGAAGGGGAAAGAGCAAAGGGATCACATTCTTCCACTGTTAAGATCTGAAGTGGACGTGTACCTCACTTCTGCCCTTGTGCAACGAACAGTTTCTGGTTGGGCTCTGCCTGTCTGTGAAGGAATCTGAGAAATGTAGCTCTAGCTAAGCACCCTTGTGCTCTGACACAGCTTACTTCAAAGAAGAAGGGAAGAAAGGCAGTTGGGACAATGGTGGCATCTGCCACAGTCAACCCTACATAACTCGCTGCCCACTTGCTTACAAACTAATGAAAGAGAAGTGCTTTGCTTCCTAGCAGCCGTCAAAGCAGAGGAGTTCAAAAAATTCAGAGGAGAGGGAAGGGCCCTTGAACTTGAGATGATCAGATACAGTTCTTTAAGGAAGTGGCATTTGAGCTAGCTGGACTGGGCTCAAAAGACGTCTACATGCTGAAAATGAACCGGAAGTGACGGCAAAAAGCAGATCAAAGAGCAGTGCCAATCATAAACCAAAGGGTAGGTTTCAGAGGCGAATGAGGGATTCTTCTTGGCTATTTCTAGACAGCACTACACAAAGTTCCATTTCTTTCTGTACGTTTCTGTCTGGTACATGCCAGGCACCAAACTTCTGTGTCCACCTTTGTCCTGGAAGATACTGTACTGGACCACACTCCACACCTTCAGAGCAAGCAAGCGTGCTGCCGGAGAAGGTGGACCAGGCAGTGAGTCAGAGCTCAGATCTGCGATTTCGTAATTTACTAATAACAACCCCTTCCAGAGCTGTGTAGTTTGTAGAGCATGCTTATCTATAGAATTGTATTTGATTTAAATCTCACCTCAGTTCAACTTAGAGAAGCTGGCTAAACTAGAACATCAAAGATGAAAATGATTTTGATGCAAGATAGACAAAAATAAAAATAGGCAGCAAGGAGACAAGGGGAAAAATGTCACAATTTTACAATTGTACTTTAGAGAAAACTGCAGCTTTGGGAAACAAAATTACCCAACTTTACAATGGCGCTTCCCCCCTCCTCCAGGAAACTCATTATGAAGGTCTTTGTAAAGTAGGCCCCTTGCCTTTCAACTGTAAATTGAGCTCCCCTCTTTTCATCTGATACCAGAGATTCTCAATTCCAGAGATTTCCAACCCCAACAACATATAAACACCTCCAGGCCGGGCCCAAGATGTGCCTCCCTCCTGAGCACCTGCACTCCTTCTGGAGCTCACCCTTCTTTTCTGCTTAATAAATCCATGTGTGCCTCTTCAGGATGCTCGCTGAAATGCTCGGTAGTGACTACTTCATGGGTGGGGTTGAGCTGAGGTCCCCAGCTCCTCTTGGGATGACAGTTCCTAAAATCAGAAGAATGGAGAATGTCATTATGGAAACACTGAAATCTCATTATTTCCCACTCCACTGATTCAAAATTTGGGAAATTTGCTTAAGGTAGGCTGAAAATTACCTTTATGCTCAACACACCTAGAAGGATTTGCTATGCAAGCTAAAAAGGTGGCCAGGATTTCTGGGAGACCCAGGGAGGGCTGTCACATACAGGCACTATTGCAGGAGCACTGGACTTCAACTGATTTTAAACAATGCTTCTTTCACTCAAATAGGTCTGGTGGGGCAAGGCCATAAAGTTTTTGTTAGCTTTTGTTTAAGCTTCTGAATACTCTGAAGAGTGAGAAAATCACTAAGCAAATTCATGTGGGGCCTCACAGAGAATTTAAGTGTTTAACCTTTTGGCCGGAACGTTGAAGGTGCTGGTTTGCAGACTGGACTCATTTTGGCTGTTCCCCCAAAATCCATGTAAAAACTCAACCAGATAAATGCAGCAAGATTGTGGCTCTGCGAGGATCTGTCTGCCTGATCATCCACCTGTGTGCCCTTGCCCAGGTGATGAAGAACTCACCTGAAACTTGGGGACAGTTTGAGCTCCATGGCTACTCTGTGGTTAGCAGCTAGCATTTCTTCCAAGTTTATTCTGTGTCAGGCCAATACTAAGGGTCTGTTTCCATAGCTGAGGAAACTGGGTCCTAGAGAGGTTAAGAAACAAGCCCACAGCCACAGCCACAGTAAATGGTAGTCAGGACCTCGTCCTTGTGTGCCAGATACAAAGACCCTGCTTTGATAATCACTCTCCCCGCACCGGTGTGCCTTGGAGTGAACATTCTGTATTTAGTAAGATGTGATTTAGTGGCCTTACTGTCTGCATTTTTAATAATGTACGCCCTAACAAAACTCAAAGAATGAGGACCTGTCTTCCAACCACATCCCCTGAACTTTTAATATGAAAGCTTGCAGCATGCAGCTTGTAGCTTGCAGTCTGTGTCCTCAGGGATCTGGGCCTAGGTGAAGTTGGCTGCAGCTGAGGAACTCAGGGAATCAAAACCTAAGTACATGAATCCGCACTACGTTTCAAAGTGGATGCATCATTGTGAGGTGGGGGTGGGGCTGTTGCTGAGCAGGGGCCAGAAACCAGACATCCATAGGTGATGAACATAGAGCTCCAGTTTAAATTTGATTAGTTATGTGAACTTCAGTCATTCACCAGACGTTTCCTGAGCCCCAGTCTATGCCAGGAGCTGGGTTGAATACTGAGGACATAAAAAAAAAGATGAGGCCCTTGCCCCTCTCAGGAATGACTTACTAAGGAGTTATATGCAACAGAATCATAGTAACAGTCTGGGCCGAGGCCGGTGAGGACGGATGTGGCATCATAACCAGACTAGCCACTGCAGTGCCGCGAGTGCCCCTGAAGATGTGCATTGTGGTAACAAAGCAGGGCCAAAGAAGACTTCATAAATCACACTTCCGTGCAAGCTCCTGCCTCCCCAGATGCTGCTGCAGTCATTGTGCAGAGGGTGACGGCATTTTGGTGAAAGGACAAGGACCCTCGGGTGATGTCACCAGCCTCCCTCTGCAACTCCGGGACTCCTGGGCTCTGACCTTGGCAGGCCACGTTTCTGAAAGGAGCATAATCGATGGCCAGGCTCCGAGTCTGTTCCTTCACCTCTGATGCCCACTCTCTGCTCCAGGAAAGTTGCTGTCTATTTGTGGTCAGCCCCTTCCCGGAGGAAATGCCGAGCATTCTGTCCACCTGGAGGGCCTCACCCACCTGAGCACTTTCTCCTTCCAGCCTTGTCTTTCCAGGGTAGAGGAGCTGATGGACAAGAAAAACAGGACCTGCTAGCTCCTGGGGAAGCTGAGGAACTGATAACAGGGTTTGCATTCTGCTTTCCCGTCTGTCCCTGGATTCCCAAGAGCCACCAGTTGTACTTACAGCCAAACACACCCATGGACATAAGCCCCATACCTGACATGAGCTGAATGAGACCTTGGAGACAGCTGGAAATTTGACTCTACCAAGGGAGCAAAGGGCACAGAAGCCAGAATCAGGGGTCCAGGGAGGCATAGGCTTCTTTCTTTCTCTATCATGGTGGCCTCAGCGGAGTGCTTTCACTTCCAGTCACGATGAAGACTCTTTCTTCCTTCCACCTTCCTTCCTCCTCCTTCTTCTTCTTCTTCTTTGTTACCGCCCTGTCTTGTTATCCACATCCCTCTTCGGAACACTGGAACACCAGGAACTGCCCACAGCTTCTTCGCATCAGGCCCTTGCTGCCTTCGTGGCTCTCCTTGCCCACCCACTCTCTGGGGACTCCTTTTTCAGTCTCTTTTCCTGCCTCCAAACCCAGCGGCCCTTTCTCCAAAACCTCCATTGAAGATTCCTGTCTAGCCAGAGCTTTCTTGCAATACTGCTGGCCCAGCAGCCAGGTCAGATGCTTGAGTTTGCATATTGTCTGGTTCATTCCAAGGGAGGTGTGTCCTTAGGAGAGGGCTTGGGCTGGTTTCATTCCCTTCTCCATACCCACGTTCGCTTGGCCTGCCTGAGAAGGGAGCTGGAGGCGTTTGCTCTGTCCCTGTGCATTCTGAACACATGCTTTGGACAGGAAGGACCTTGCAAGTCATCTAGTCCAATGTCCCTGCGGCACTCAGGAGACCCTGGCCTGCTTCCTGGAGCTAAACCCTCCCACTATGCCTCCTGAAGTCCCCAGACCTCGTATGGCCTGTGTGATTGCCAGTGAGCTTCTTCCTCTGCTGAGCGGGCTCTGACCACCTGGAAATCCCTCTTTGCTTTCACTCCCTCCTCTTCAATGTTGTGCTAGATAATAGAAGATGGTTTCCTTGCATTTTCGGGCAAAGAACCATTCCTCCTGTGACTTGCGTTGAGTTATTGTAGTAACCTGACCATTCTCCCTTAAATTGGGCCTATTTACCTGTGTTCCTTTTCAAACGTAGCCCGGAAGAGAAGGCAGTTCTCTGGGCATGGGCTGTCGAGTTCCCACCATGTGGGGCAGGCCTTTTCCCATCCAGATTTCCAATTAATGTTGTTCCCTTTACACTTTATTCCAAGGAGCGGTTCAGGGACCCCTAGTGATGCAGCTGGTTAGCAAGCTGCCATCAGAGATACTCCTGATTTTAGGGTGCACATATTATTAAAACCACATCACCCAAGGCCACCAGGCAGAAGACGGTCCACGCACGCACGCATGCACACAAGCCCGCAGATTTGCTGGACTGATCCAGCGAGAGAAGGCTCCATCGGTACAAGGGGGTGCTGGTGCACAAGGTGGGTGGGCTGCACCCTTTGTAAATTCTGTGTTTCTGCTGAAGGCTGCCAGGAGGGTAGAAGGAAAACAGGAGTCTGTTGCGGACTTTGCTTTCTGGGGTGGGGTCAGGGGAAGAGGAAAGGATAGAGCACAGTCACAAGGCCAGAGCAGCTTCGCAGACCCTTAGAAGGGTCTAACAAAGTCCATCTAATGCAGTGGCAGCGAACCCATGGCACGATGGACTGTTTGTCACTGAAGGCTCTAAAAGTTTCACCAGGGATATTATTGGAAAGAATTGAAAGGCATTCACTTCACAGCCACAGCACGGCCTTGGGAGAAAGAAGGTCTCTTGTTAACTTGGGGTTTCTTTTATCTGCACTCATTCCTACCCTCCCCCCACAGCCTGATGAATTGGACTCATTTTTTTTCAGTCCAAGCTGGTTTTCACTCGTGGGTTCCCTGTGGTTTGTTTGCCCGCTCAGTATCCTCACGGGTTCCAGGTGCTTGGGAGGGGCAGGCTGAGCATCTCCCTGCTTCCTGTCAGTGCTGAGGTAGCCGCAGGGGACTAGCCGGGTGAACCACGCAGGCCCGAGCAAGGATCTAACCCGGGTGGCCCTCGGCCCTCCTCTGACACTCCCAGGCTCCACTCGGTCTGTGGCCATGGTCTCCAGTGCCTCTGAGGCCCACATCAGAGCCCTGAGGCCATTTGTCCAGCAGCCCTGCAGGTCCCACGGGTGCTCAGATGCACTGTGCCCTCACCCAGCTCTCTTGTCTGCACCTGTCTACCCCTGATCACTCTCCCCTGCCTGACAGTCCCTGTCCAGGTGCCTCGCAGCTCTACCTGTCCAGTCACTAAAGCCAGAAGCCCAGGCATCGTCCTCAAGCAAGATGCCTCCTCACCCTATGCCTGCTGGCTGCCGTAGCCTTTCTGCTCCACCTCAGCACCCTTCCAACCTAATTCCCTTTCTTGGATCCTTCCAGACTTCTGCTTGGATTAATGAAAAACCCTTGAACTCATCTTCCCAGTCTCTTTGCTTTCTATTTCATGGCATGCTCAGCTGCCAGCTACCAGGAAGAATGCCTTCCTCCCCCCCACATTTTTATTATACTGGGGATCAAGCCCAGGGCTAGTGCATGCTGTGTCAGGCAGGTGCTCTACCACTGAGTTCTATCCCCAGCCCAAGTTCCCTTAACAGTTCTTCAGCTAGAGGGCAGTTCGAATGACACTACAAACCCAACAGGTTTTACATCTGATTCAGCCTGCTTTCCCAACCGCATTTCTTTCTGCCCCACCTTTCCCGTACCTGCATGATCCAGTCTTGGAGAACAAACAGCAGCTGCCTAGCCTGGCTGCCCTGGGTCCCTGTTATAACTTTATGCAGGTGTTTGCATTGTCTAGGGTGTCAGAAGTAGAGACAATAAGGGCTGTTGTTCCCACATATGGATTATATATGGGTCAGGCACTCTGTGAATGAATTTATATGTGTGGTCATAGCAATCCTATAAAATAGGTATTATTATGTCTATTTTGTTGTAGTTGTTGTTGTTGCTGTGTGAGGCAGGGTCTCACTTCATAGTTGAGGATGGCCCTAAACTCACTGTGTAGCCCAGGCTAGCCTCAAACTCACAGCCATTCTCCTGCCTCAGCCTCCTGAGTGCTGGGATTACAGGCGTGCACCTAGACTATACTGGGCTATAATCTCGGTTTTATGTGTTAAGAAACTGGGACTTGGAGCAAGGTA